TATGCATGTACTTATACCGGTAAGAGCATAGTTATTTACTGAACAGTAGCGCAGAATGAGCAAAACTTTTGCAGCAATAATCAAATAATAGCTAAGCGTTGGTTTTACTACGACCTTGCAAAGACGAAAAAAATTTACTTGAGAGCCTTTTAGCCTGAAGTATGTATGTAGATACGTAGATACAATATTGCAGCAGCGTTCTACCTACCTTTTGTTTATTTTCCACTAATAATTAGTATGCTTTAGAAATATTTACGGAAATAGAGCACATGATTTCGTTAATTTTAGAGTTGTAGCAGGTAGTTAATTTTTCTTTAAACTGCATTTCGCTAAGTGTGGAGTTGTGTGGTTTAGTTGGGATTTCCCTGAATACAAGATATTTTGTAAATACGTACGTTCTTCATAAAATTTTATTTTGTAGGAGTTTTGGGTGTGCACCTACATAAATGAGGTAAACGTGACCACTCACAACAGCTTATCCTGAAAACTTTTTAGGGCGTTGTATGGAAGATGTTTTTTTCGCTTTTCTAAGGAATTACGCTGTAAATGCACGTATACATATACATAAGCATTGTCGTCCAGTAAATTATGGAATGTGCTTGTCGGATATATATAATAGGGCGAACACATTTCTTTATCCAAACATCAGTAGAGAGGAGTGTTATACAGTGCTTAGTAGCGACTATTTAAATAAATAAACGATATAACAATATCGAGAAAAGACAATGGGAAGGGAAAAAACTGATTTGCAAAATTACGTTAAGTACGATGAAACTACCAAGAAAAGTACATGCATTGTAGGGTCGTGTAAAAGAGAGCTTAGTGGATTATTGCGAGGAAATATAAAAAGACATTATAAACATACACAAAATAGATATAGAAAATAGTGATGAAAGTGATGATGATAATACTTCTACCACAAAAAAAAACGAAAAACCGTGTCAAAGTTAATTACTAGTTTGGACAGAGACAGTTTTTTGAGATGCTGCGTGGGACTGGTCACCAAAAAAAATATTCCCTTTCGAATATTTGATGACGAGGAATATTTTAAACAACTTATATCACCATACGAATAGAAGTTTGGTATACATTTAAACTCAAAGACCATAGTAAACCTTCTTGAGAAAGCAAGTCAACAAATTAAGGAAAAAATAGGTCATTCGGTAAAAAATACAATAATATCTATAAAAATTGACATCGCAACTCGCATGGAAAGAAGCGTTCTGGGGATCAACATCGAATACATTAAAGATTACAAAGTCATTGTTCATACAATTGGTAAGTAATTTCGTTTTATATAAATAAACACACATACATATATATGTATATTCATTTAAATGAATAAGTATTCGACAATCATACTTTTTTTTCAGGAATGATTGAAACAACTAAACGACATACAGCTGCAAATTTAAAGGAAGAAATTATGAAATGTCTCAACGAGTATGGCTTTGGGATAAACCAAATTTATTCCAATACCACTGACAACGGCGCAAATGTAGTTAAAGCGTCCAAATTGCTACACGATATGCAGCAAGAAAGTTTAGCAAACGAAGATGCTATAAATGATGTTGAGACAGACCATATTGAGTCCCAAATCGCTTCTGTGTTTTCTGTGGTTCGTTGTGCTGCTCATACTATTCAGCTAGCAGCATATGATGTCATAAAAACAATTGAAAAGGACTTGAAGAGTGCAGGACGATTGTAAAAAAAATTTAGAACCTTAGTAAGAGCAAGAAATACCGACATCAGTTTGCCATTCATCGACAACAGAAATAGGTGGAACTCTACGTATGATATCATCACTTTACCGAATCAAAGAATACTTTGAAAATTTGGATAAAAACATGTACATAAATTGGTCATTCGTTAAGGATTTTCTCACCGCTTTTCAACCAATCTCTAAGTGTACCCTAAAACTTCAAAATGAGCAGTATATTATAGGAGACTTCTTCAGGGATTGGCTTACTTGCGAACTAGACCTTGCAGACTTGGTCCCAGACAATATTTATGCAGATTCCCTCCTAAATGCGATGAAAATAAGAAAAAATGTCCTTTTAGAATATAAGGCTTTCGTCGCTGCTCTATATCTAAATCCAAGATTTAATTTTGAAGAATCACCTCTCCTCAGCTCTGAGCAAAAGGATGTTGCAATGGTAAGCCAACTGAAATTTATATATATATATATATTTCGTTCAATTAATTTATTATTTACTTTGAATTTTTTATATCTTTATAATTGTGAGATACTAATCCAGTTATTTTAATTTTTCCTACTCTTTTACAGGATCACTTAATCAGGACTTACGAAATGATCCAGAAAATTGAAAATCCATCAGTATATGAGAATGATTGCACTTCTGGAGTTGTACCACATACAACACAGGACAATGAACTTCCAAGCACATCGAAAGGGGCGTACCATATGTTAACGCTTCACGTAAGGTCATTGGCAAAATCGCAAAGTGCAATGAGACCAATCGTAAAACCTGACATCAAGCAAAAGCTGGTTAATCTCTGTGTAAAAGAAATGGAACCGTTCGACACAAATGTCCTGGAATACTGGAGAAAATTTTATCGGAATGAGTGTGAGATGTTGAAGTTAGCGGAGGTTGTATTAGCAGTACCAGCAACACAAGTTTCTGTTGAGCGGGCTTTCAGGACACTTTCTACAATACTCACTAAGTTACGTACAAAATTGTAAAAAAAATCGTTATCTATTGATAACAAAATAAAATTTTGATATACTCCACTTCTCAAAATTAGAAATTGAAGAAAATAAATGGATAAAACAATGTGATGTAATAATTTGCTTCATTGGAAATCCCAACTAAACCACACAACTCCACACTTAGCGAAATGCAGTTTGAAGAAAAATTCACTACCTGCTACAACTCTAAAATGAACAAAATCATGTGCTCTATTTCCTTAAATATTTTTAAAGCATACTAATTATTAGTGGAAAATAAACAAAAGGTAGGTAGAA